AGGAATTATAGTGTGTGTTCATGAGACTCCCTCTCCTTTTAAGTCAGAGTCTACATAATTTTTTTCAATTACCTTCCAACCACATATTGAACAGTATTGATGTATGTGTTTGTAACATCCTCCTTAATAATTAATTTCCTAGTCTCCATGTTCGTTTCAAAGGGGATCTTCTCTGCCATGGAGCCAAACTTTTTCTGCACAAAGCAATCACATTAATAAATGTTCTGACCTGCCAACTGTCCAGACCTCATCGCTCTGCCTGCAATGAATCTTCCCAACAAGTCAAAGCATGCAAATCTAACTAACAACACTGCAAGCATAAAGAGCAAAGAGAAAGCTCTGCTTATGTCATATGTTCAATTTCTTTTACATTTATACTGCAGAAAAAATTCAAGAACACACAAAAAATATCAGGAGATAAATTACAAGTTTTTTGCATGCATTATACCAAAGAAGCTTTGGATCTGTTTGTTCCATTCATAAAAACTTTTTAGATCAAAAATAACAATAATAAACAAAGGCAGAAGAGTTTGCAGCTGTTGACATCTTCATCTCCTGTAACAAAATGATGTTCCAGTCTTGGGCCACCCACGTATAGGAAGGAGCATCTTTATTTTCCTAAAGATAGAGAAGAAAAAAAAAGAAAGGTGTCTTAATCCAATTACCTGAAAACAAAACTTTAAGTGTCAAAATCACTGACTCTTCCTGCTATCATTTTTCATAGTGCTTGTACAGTTCTTCTTTTCATGCCTCAGTTTAGCAACTGAAGGGAAGCACTCCAAAACAACATTGCAGTCTGTTCTGAAGTCCTGTGAACCAGCTGTCGAGCAGAGGTTGCCAAGCTGATGCCATTTCTTTGTGTCCATCACTTTAGTATTGCACTGCAATTCAAAAACAAGCTAGAGATGTCTTTAACCATTACAAAAGCAGCCGTCAAAGTGAGACAAGACTGTATGTCTCTGTGGTGATGTCTACAGACAGACTGGAAGATCTCTGTGATGGGTGGGCAGCCCCCCCCAGCAATGAAGCACTGAAGATTCAGCCTTCAGGAGACGAGGAACACCAGGGAACAGAGCCGTTTGGGTAGCTCGAATTGAAATGTGAGCCGAAGCTGATACACCTTTTTACAAAGCTCCTGTCAGAGGTACTCCCACACTGTCTTCCTTTGCTGTGTACGATCTGCCTTTTGAAGCTACCACAATGTGAAAGGAACGGATGGGGAGGTTGTAGTGTACTTTCCCTGCTGCCTGTCTTCACAGCATGTCAGAGGAGAGATCCCGTTTGACGTTTTTCTTTTCTGACATCCTGTAGTCTCAAGTCATGCTGCCAAAGGGCTTCACTTTGGCTTCCTTGATGGGGCAGCTGGACATCAGCAAGGAGGTGGGATGTTTCCAGCCACCCATCACACACTGGGGACACCAGAAGAGGGCTTCTCTGTCGGGGCTTTTTGGTGGCCATATCGTTTCTGGCTCCAGATCTGCTTAAACGAGTGTGTGATGAATGGGGGATTTCGCCCCAGTTTGGCAGCTCCTCCTGGCTCCCAGGGGCCACCAGTGTCACACTGGTACAGCAGCACTGGTGTCGGCATGGCCACGGTGGTGTAAAGGAAGAGGCTGAGCACCTCTGTGGCACAATGTCAGTAAGCACCTCATTGTAATACTGGGACTGACCCACATTGCCTTTATGGGCAGAGCTTGGAAGCATAACACCACTTTCCCATCCTGTTCAGAGCTGTTAAGAGCACATAAGGCCAGCTGGCAAGGTGCGGTCATATCACTGGACAGGCAAATAAATAATTTTATAAATACAGGAATTCTTGGCACGTGCTTGCTACAGCAGTG